AAAAAAAGAAATGGAATATTTATTGGAATTTTTAATTGTGAAATTTCCTTTTCATCTTTGTTCTTATAGTACAGAATTTGACACACGTCAACAACAGTGACATCAGTTTCTATTGGGTGGAAGATTTGGTAAATCTTAGGAAAATTCATTTGCATGTCCTATAATTTCTAAAGATGCTTAATTGTTGGCTCATTTGTTCAAAATCCGCAGCTCATTTCTAAACTAAATAAAAATAAATATGAAAAAAATATTTTGTTTTTTAAAATCTTTTGCATCAGTTTTCTCTCTTTTAATTGAATCGGTGAAGAAATAATGTAAGAGACTGCTTAATTAATCGCGGGCTCTCTCAATTAATTTGAATTGCAAGGTATAGGAATCTTTCATTCTGAAATTTCTAAATAATCTTTGTTCGACCTTTCCAAGTCATAGGAAAGTACTATGCATATTGCGGGTCATCGTTCCAAATTTGACTATTCCAAAGATTCATTATGTAACATTTTAACTGCCTCTAGCGCAAGAAAGCAGCTCTCGAGGTGTCACATCTCGGGAGTTTTTTTTTTATTAATATGATTGTGTTTACATAAAAAAAAAAATCACTTATATAAGAACAATACAGCTATGTAAATGAAGGGTCAACAAATATAGCAAGTACGATAATATTTAATATTGTTTCATAACTCAATAATCATGATGTTTTTCTCAATGTTGCCTTTGCAAATTGCTAGTGAGCATGTCAGTATTTTTATTCCTTTCACACAGCTCATGGCTATTTTCATAGTTATTAAGCTCAAGCTAGGGTCAATTTAGGATAAGATATGAGTCACGAGGGTTAACCTATGTTAACCCTAATTTATTTTTATAAAATAAGTAAAAACAAAGTTGTTTTGAAAAGGATTGTTTTTTAAAAAAAAAATCAATGTGTTTCTTGATTGGATTTCACTAGATCGGAGGTCAGCTTGAGTTTCTAGCTAGGTTACTCAGATCAGCCCAATTTGGGTTTTGTAACAGTGGTATTGAATCTACCCTATTTCTGTAGCTTTTCTACCTTCTCCTCAATTGTCACCCTCCTTATAACTAAGTCTTCGCACCAGAATTGTGTTGCAAGTCCTACTAAATATAAAATTACAAGAATCCATTTCTACTGCATCATTTTCTATCTCATCTCTATCTTTTACAATGAAAAAACAAACATTTCATAATATTGTGTTACAATCCATTATTTTGTAAGTTGTTTTCATGCTTTGCAAAGTTGATAGAATTAGAAAATAATATAAAATTATTTTTAGAAGTTTACATAATAGGTTCAAGTTTTTTGTTGTGCTGACTATTTGATATCATATTAGATTTTTATAATTGAATAATTATAAGTTTGAATTTTTATATTTTAATTTTAATTAATAAAATTAAAAATAAAATAGCTCAAATATACATAAGTTTTAGATTTAAAAATTTTTACTCGAAAAAATATATTAAAAAATAATGTAAAATTATTCTTATACCCTTACGGGCTGAAATATTTCTTTAAAAAACTACATCACTAGTGTTGCATCAGTCAAGAAATGTCACAACTTGTCGTGTTAATTAATTGCTTATATTACGTCCCCAGCATTATTACATGAAAGCCTCACTGACCACTAACCTGTTTATCGTGCTCATTGGGACGAATGGACAAAAGATGCATCATGAAGTTGGAAATTCAACAGCTAGTAAACTCCCTTGGCCCCAGATTGTGCCATGGGGTCTCAGGAAGTCATGTTCTCTTTGTTGTTTCTTTAGTCTAGTCGACGGAACGGGTCATAGCCAATCAAAAGTTCAGAATATCAGAAATCTGTTGCTTGTCTTTATTCTCCAATTTATATAGCCCATAAATTTGTCATAAATACCTGGTCGATAGTTAACGTGTTATTGTGGTTTTCTTTGCTTTCACTTTCATGAATTTGATTGCTTATGTCCGTTTGTAATCAACCTTTTATCGTGGTCGCATGGTCCGAAACAGCTTTTCTTTGCTTAATGAATCCGTCATGAATTGTCACAAACTGTCACGGTGTAAGATGTGGACTCTCTGTATAATTGCTTCGGGTTACTTCATGGTACGTTGACGTGATCATGCAATGAAAGCTTCACCAACCAATAAACTGTTATCATGCTCGTTAGGGTTGAATTTTCAAATGATGCATCATGAAGTTGGGATTTCTGTAGTTAGTATACTCACTTGGATTATTGGACATCGATTATGATAAGGTGTCTCAATATACAACTTGTTTCCCTGCAGTTACTTGTGGCTGATTTGTCAAGGCTTTGTAAACAATCTCAACTAGATTATTTTAAATTCCTGATAAGTACAAAATATACACATGTTTTAATTTATTTATTTTACACTAAGCTTTTTAATGTATTTTAAGCTTATTAAAAATTATTTTTATGAGTTAGACATCTTTAAGAGACTTTGTAAATTAATTGATACAAGATAAAAATTTCTATATTTTATGTTTTATACCTGGCTTCCTGTGATAGGTTTCTCACTGTATTATAATTTCAGAATATAAACATGTGTTGAGTTAAAATTAAAGTACATATATCAAGCTTCCCAAAAACATTTTATAGGAAAAAGTTCAAGTTGTTTGGAGCTCTAATCAGACCTACAAAATCAGGCTGAAATTCTGCTTACAGTAAGATTCTATGCTTTCACACTACAAATTCAAACAAGCATATCTTGAGTCTCAGACATCAAAATCATACAATTTAAAAACTTAAAATCATTTTGATTTCAGGACTACAACTTTCATTAAGGATACCAAGTTAAATAAAATCATTTTAAAGGCAGAAATCTAAATGCAATATGAAGGACGAGATTGGTTTCATGATCTGATGAGAAAACTAATGATGTCGAGTATCCTACTATGACTAAGAGTCTGACATAAAAATGATGGATTTTAGGATTCAAGAGAGGTGTAAATCAATCCTATAACATTTAATGAATAAAATAATACAGCTAGAATGGTCAGATATTATAAGAAACCAAGTCAAAAATAAAGTCTAAGTTGCAGCAAAGTCTATATTATAATAGAGTTGTGACAACAATAAAGTCTAATTTCAATAAAAATTCTGAGAGATTTAACTAACCTTAAAGATCGGATAAATAAGGAAGGAATTAAGCAGATATAAGGACTTCTAATTAGCCTAAGAATCCTGAAGAAATTCAGCAGTCAATAGAGAGAATAAATAGAGTAGAACACTACTGAAATAGGAGCTTTACAGCATTCTTTTCTTCTCTATTTTTGTCAATTTTCTAGCAGCTATGAGCTAAACTTTGAAATTTGATTCAAGAGGAATAGATTTCATCTTCATTATTAAGTTGTTAGAAGTAATGTTTTTATTGTAATTCTTTTATATTCAAGTAGTTATTTATCCTTATTTCATAATTATGTTATTGATTTTTGTTCAAGCTTATTGAATTGTTTTAAGATGGTATATATGTTCTTTCTAGATTCTTTGATTTTTATTCATGCTTATTGATTTCATTTGGTTTTTATAAGCACTACTAGAAAATTGATAAATACAAATGGAAATACTGA